GTATTTGATCACTTTCTGTTTTGTGCCAGGTAACTAAGATCTCTCTCAGGTGGCTGATCTCATAGCTATTATAAAGTTAAGTGTGCTGTCGGTCGCTCTTGACATTTAAATGTTCGCTAAAACCCCTACAGCTGTATCTTCCGCTTCACTCTCTAAGACAGACTTGACAGCAGGGTATTGCTCATTGTTTTTGTGCCTCACACCTCATTCTAGTGGGTATGAGCCAGACAATAGGTATTTATAAATGAAAGAGGGTCTTTCCTTTCTGTGCATGAGTCAAATGATGAGTGTGCCTGCCGAGAAGGGAAAGACAGGGGCCCACTGAAAGGGTGGTCTTTTGCGTTAATGTGGGCTCAGAGGCAGAAACTGTGAGTGTTGGGACAGAAGAGAGTCGTCTGTGGAGGGGAGCAACAGTTCAGGATACAGTAAAGCCAGTGTTCAACTTGGTGAGTTTACTGAATCTGACTGATTGTGTGTTTCAGACAGATTGGAGTTTTGAGCTTTTATGGGAAGGGGTCCATTGGAGCTTTGCTTCGTCACTGCCTCAACAGTCAAATAGTCAAAGAGCTTTCTAACTCTGTCCAAATCACTTTGTGAACATTTTGGCCTTTTGCTTCTTTGGTCTGCAACAAAGTTCACTCAAGTGTGTTTACATGTGTTGTTGGACTAACACAATGCTTCAGCTGACACAAATCTAGAGGAAAAGCCTTTGTTATGACCGCAATGAGGTGTGTATAACTGGGTCTCTCTTGCTTTGCACACATGAAGTGTGTTTTATCTCTTTTTTTTTTTTTCTCCATGCATGTTTGACGTCTGGCTTGACTACAGCCCTGGTTGTTTAGATTTTGATAAGATGTGGGCAACCACTACTGTAGTCTGTTATTACATTGTTGCACACTGCGGCTTAAGTGGACATCTTTGGCATTGCAAATATGTGAAGTATGTGGGTGTTTGGTCTTTCTTTTGCTTTCCTTTTTTTCCTGTTCTCTTCTCCCTCATGCCATTTTATATTCTCTTTAGTTCTCCCAGGTAAACAGCTTTGGAGAAGATCCCCTTGGGACCTTTTTTTTTTTTTGCTTCTCTTGACTGCCCGGTACTGCTTTCCCATGCCATGTTATTGTCTGTGTGAGCTTCTTCTTATGAACACGAGCCCCTGTGGCTGGTATTTATTATCAGCAAGTTTGCTCATGTGTAGTTTTATGAGTACTGTGGTGCTATATGTTTTGTTACAGAAATTGCCACGAGCAACATTTTGCTTTTAATCATCACTATCTGTTACTTCAGCAGCGTGTACAAAAGGAAACCAAATCTCACATTTCACGCCATTGTTTCCTAAAGAACTAGTGAACTGAGCAGCAGGGTGATAGTTTAAATCTGTTGGTCCTTGCATGGAGCTTCACACCGCTGAAGAGCAGAAGTCATGGCCTGTTACAGAAGAAGCTACAAAGGAGTGAAGTTTCTTGCTAAGGCCCATAGCAAGGCAGACACTTTGTGGTGACATGTTAACAGTGTCCCGTGGCAATACTTTAATTGAAGCAACAACTTCCCCATTTGGGTTCATCTGACCTTGAAAACTGAGCTCTACTGCTCCGGGCCACCGTCCACTTCAAATGTTGACAGAGGGTTGGAGGCATTGTGTTTCCGACTTGTCTGTCCATCTGTGTGCCCTAGTTTTGTGATTACAACGATCAAAAATACTTAACGGGAATAGCTTCAAATTTGGCACGTTGTCCTCTTATAGTGCATTGACACTTGCACACGACTCCTGAAAAGTTCTTGCTTCTTACTCAGTAAATCAGTAGTTTGACACAAGATTGATTTATTAGTAATTTAACTGATTGAAAAATTATAATACATTTCCTCCGCTTAACACATAATTCTTTAGACTTGCAGTTGGAGCTGTGTCCATATTTTTATTGTATTATTTATTTAAATATGTTTTCCCATCCATCCCTCTGTGTGTGTTATCCTTACCTCAAACATGATGCCAGTCGCTCTTCAGGATCAGTTGCTTCTAGGGATGTAACGATTCATTAAACTCACAATATGATTCTCTCTCGATTTATTTTACAAAATGAGACTGAAGACAAATTATGAGATGACTGAAAAAGATTCCTTTTATGTTGTTCATGAAAGCACCAATGCACCTCGTAATCGTAAACCCAGCTTGTAGTGTGGTTTGGCCTCAGACCTTGACACCTTCTGAATCGATTTTTAACTGCCTCACGATTAATCTTTACATCCCTAGTTGCTTCTCAGAAATTGGTGGTCTTCTTTTTAATATGTAGTGCCTGCAGCATATCAAACTGGACCCCTGACATCCTCAGACACACCCGGAAGTGTATTAGGATAATATTGCAACACGTGATAACTCTACTTCCTCTAGTCTTGTTTCCAGGAGTGGCTGGAGCTGGTTTATTTTCCTTCTTTTTTTTTTTTTTTTTAAGGAGTGAAAGAACCTCTAAATCATCTTCACTTCTTGATGACGCGACTTGATCAGCACAAGACAAATTGTCTCGCGCTGCGAATTTTCCCAATTAATGGAATAGAAAAATGAATGCGTCAGACTCAGTGTTCAAAGTGTTTCAATGTTTGTATCGGACAACTGATCCTAAAAAGGCATCCGAAATAACAGAGTCACTGTGCCAAGGCCTTTAAAGGAAGAAAACATATTTTATACGTAAATATAGCAGAAATCCAGTATATCCTGTGTAAATAACTCTCTGAGTGAGGACTGTCTACAATGAGAGTGACGCGCGAGTCCTGCTGTCTGTGATGTTGTCTGAGCCGTATCTACAGCGTTGTTTACGTGGACGGGACGGCTGGCTCGTCCCCTTGCATATGAAGGCTGTTTAAGTGAAGGACTAGAGAAAAGAAGAATAACACACAGTACTCACTGCTTAATTGAGCGTCACGTAAGCGTTTTCAGATCATGGCCATTCCGCGTAAATCATCATGCTATGTGAAGCTATGAGCTAACGAAAGAGCGCTACCATTAGCCTGCTAACACAACAATAATAAATGAATAAAATGAAAACCTATCATCTCCGCTGCCAGACCGAAAGCTGAGACGGACCGGACACGCAAGCTTCTGGTGGAAGTTGGCCGTTAGAGATTTTTTTTTTTCTTTTCCTTTTGACATCATGCTTAAAAGTGAATAACAATGGTAGAAAAACGGAATCTGTTTTTAAGTCTACTCCTCATGCATGTGAAATGTATCACTTTTATATGGCATGTACTGGAGCAGTATCGGTCTTTGTACTTTATAGAGACATCAAACTCTATCTCAGTTTACGTTGTAAGACACTTGACAGTACAGACAGATCCTAAAGTCTGTAAACGCACCGGCCTCTTGCTGCCTCACTGCAGCCCCTCTGTATGGTTAGACAGGAGGTAGGAGCCTGAGTCAGAACAGAGAGAGCATGTGTGGCTGAGTCAGCCAGTGGAGCGTCCGGCAGCCTGTTTACATGTTGACGGCACATGACACTGACTGTATCTTCCCCTCAGTCACAGCCAGCAGAGCTCTCGCACACAGGCTATAGGCTGGATCAATGGACCTCTTGTTCTATTGGCTGAGAAACCACTGTGTCTTGGTCATGAGGTATAGGGTGATTAGAAGATGACTCCTGCATGCACCGGTCAAGTGTAAGCAGAACATTCTCTTTGACAACAAGAAAATTGTCAAGCTGGTATAACAAAAGATCTGATGATTGAGACAACAGTAGCTTTTTTTTTTTTTTCCCTCACATCAGAGGAATTGAGTATGCTTGCCCTTTATTCTAGACATGAAAAATGTTTCTTATAAAAGCCCTGTCTAATAAGACGTTGGTATATTTTGTTGTGTTTTAAACTAATGTGAGAGAGTTTTAAATTTACTAACGCAAGTTATTAACTCTGAAAGTCTCAGAAACGCTCCTCAACCAACGTGGTCTCACATTGGATCCCTGCTAAAGACTGGCATCCTAGTCCTCATTTTCTCACACAATAGCGCTGATAGCAAAGTGAAACTGACCCTCTGTTGTGTTTTTTTTTATGGGTGGATTGCCATGAGATATGCAAACGACCCCAGTAAACCGGAGAAGGTCCTATGCTGAAAGTATGATTTATGCTCCTTTTTGGAATCAACACTGTTGGTGTAAGTGGTGGAACAGATCGCAATTCCATTCGTGATCCATTCAGATTACTCCTTCTGTTTGGAACACTTGCGCATCTGCAGAGTGATGGAAAATATATCATCGTCTAAAAGAAATATGATGGCGCTTAATCCCTTTGCCGAGTGTCAGTGAAAATAAATAGTGCATGGAGATCCACTGTACAAATAGGAAGACAATTCACTCTTTTTATAAATGTTTTCTCAAAGACTTCACTCAGAAACATGTTGTGTTAATATTCCATTATGTATGGCTACTTTGTTTAAGCCTCTGCTCTGACTATGATGATTGGCGCAGGTTCAGTCACCTGAGTTTGCAGTACAAAAAAGCAGAGAGGCCAGGCTGCAAACTTGTGTTTAGGGTGTGTCATTGCCCAGCGATGGGCGCACCGTTGCATGAGTTTAAAATACTCAAAACAGCGTAGGGCACATGAAGGCGACAGAGTAGGTTAAAATCAGTTCCTGTCAAAACCGAAGTTATATGCCACTATAGTTTCACAAATCCAGTGTTACCATCTAGCGCTGACCATGGGGAATTGCACATATTTCACATATGTAAAGCATTGTCATTTGCATGCATTTAGTTTGTCGCGCCACAGTGCCTACAATAATGGCTGGCATATCTTTCCGCCAATCAAGCAGTTGTCGTTGCATTTTTGATGACGTGATCTTTAATTTTTGGCTGTGGGTGCGACAGCACTGAAGAAAAAAATACCCATTATAAAATGATCCATAATTTATCCAATGGTTACATTTTCACTCTTGTTGAAGACAACAATTATTAATAGCTGGTTGTATATCCTTGTTATGTTTATAATATAACTGTATTCTTATTTGTGTGTGCCAACAGATGGATCCCTCCCGAAAGAGCCAAAAGGAGATGTATCGAGTCAGATAGCAGGTAAAACTAACATAAACAAACGCAAACATACTGTATGCAGCGGTCAGACATTTTACTGCTGTTATTCCATCCTTGCCAAGTCTTTTTTAGTGTGTAGGGTGATAGTGAGAGAGGAGTGTTTTCTTTATTATTGTGGAAATATCACTGTTATACACACAGATACACACTCACGTACATACACACAAGATTAATATTTTAGTCTTCCCAGTGACAAAGACAGGTCATTGTCACCAGGATTTCTCACATCTCCCCGACTCAACTTCTCTCCTCCCCTCCATCTCCCCTGTCTCCTTCATCACTGCATACCCAGTCCCCCAGTCTGTGATTGGCTACTCGTGTCTTAGCACTCGTCTCCGTCTGTAGCTTTTAACCTCTGTCTTTCTTTCTTATCCTCATGCCGTTGAGTTTGAGATTTGATTCAGTTGTCCATCATCTGAATATTTGAACATTCATCTCAGTTAGATTTGATCTTTTTTCTGTTTTGTCCTCACTGCCGGCCAGCAATATAGCAATATAGCAGCGAGACGGTTGCTGCCGACAGGCCGGTCAAGACCTTTACCGGTCGTCTCGCCGCTATATTTATATTTTCAGCTTTCTCCATAGAGCCAGTTAGCATAGCTTCCAAGCAATATGGCGGACGTTAAGTTTCGATTCTGGGAGTGAGCTCCCACCCACTGATCTGTGATAGGTCTGTAGCTTCAGTGGTCGAAAATATGAGGAACTAACGTTGTAGTTTTACCCCGCTAACCGCAGCAGCTTCCAGTGACGCAAAAATCGTCATTTTGCATCACTGGAAGCTCCCTTTCAGACTTAGAAATACAAAGATTTCCCATCTCAGGGGGAAATGAGGGCGGGATGCACGACCATTCAAAAATACCACCAGGTTTCTAATGATACAAAGCTTAATGCAAATGGGTGAAGTATCCCTTTAAAGTTTTCTTGCTTGAAAAGTAGAGGTAAACAAATGATTGACTTCTTGCAGCTTCAGTTAAAAATGATCAGCTTCGTCGGCCTTGGACATTTTAAGCCTGAAAACCCTAGATTTAAAGGAGGACAGTGAGTTGGCAGGTTGCTCCGATGCCCTGGAGCTGAGCAGGGGACAGCTCTTGTGCCTGCAGAAAAAACGTGATAAAATAATAATGTATGCAATTACATGTAGACAATACTTGGCCTCATTATTACTGGCTGGCCTGTCTGTGAAACACTGTCAGAGCAGTGATCGTTTCCTGGTATCTGGGGGGGTTAGAGGATTAGGTCTGACCATCTGCTGGCCTGGGCTTCTTAGCCACTGGTCTGACTGGGCCAGAGTTTGTTGCATGGGGAGAGGGGCCAGTGCTGTTATGTAATAATGTTAATTCCTTTGGACCTTGATAGATGTGCTGAAGAGTGCTTCGCAAGGAGGGAATGTTGTGGGTTTGTGCACATCCATCACTCTCTCTATTTCGTCCTTTCTTTTTCTGCCTTCTTGGCAGTGTGATCACGATGTACAACTACTCCAATATAAGTCAATTGAATTTGTGTTAATCTTCAGTAATCAATTGCATTATGCAAACAGACATGTCGCCTGCAGATGGCGTATTTGTGCAGTAAAGATAGGATTGCAGCAGGCAGAGCTGCAACTGGCTGCTGAACTACAGCAGTAGAGAACAGCTGAGCTGAAGACTTCAGTATGAAACTGTTCACTCCATTTGGCGCTGAAAATGTGAAAGTATAACAACACAGAAGAGAAGAGATGGATGTAAATACAGTGGTTATCTAAGGCTCGCTATCATAGTTGTATCAGATTTTTAATACATTAAGTTAAGTGTTGGCAAAAGTGTTTTTCCCTGTCACATCGTGGTCTGTCAGAATGAGATCAGTTGGCATTTAAAGGCCCGTGCCAATGATCTCTTGGCAACTACAACAAGCCGTCTTTTTCTCTCCTCTTTTTGTGTCTCTCTTTTCTCCCTTCTTTCCCCTTTCTTCCCTGCTGTGTTTGGGTCGCTGGGGTAACCCTGGCCTGTTTCTCGCTCGTTAGGCTACCCTGCTATTAGAGGTCTGGACGGATGGAGAGAACAAAAAGGGGCGGAGGGAAAGGAAAGATGGTTCTCTCTCTCTCTCTCTCTCTCTCGGGCCAAAACTCAGATTTGGGGACAAAAAGAGGAAAAAGGGGCGGGGCAAGGAGAGCGAAAGCAGAGTGGACTGGAAACAAACAAGCCAGGCTGTGCTGTGTAATCGCTTGCTCTGTCAGCTTGATGCTTCTAGATAATGATACCCTGTGTTCACCAACAGGGCCAAATTTTCAATGGAGCATGAAATAAGTGCACACACATAGCTCTTCTTCAAATTGCACTTTTTAGCACGCTGTGTCTCTTGAATCACATCATTCAGCTGGACAAAAAAATAAAAAAATCCTAGAGGTGGTGAGGAAGATTTTACTCAACAAGTTAGATTTTTTTTTTTTTTTTTTACATTTACAGTGAATTGTAACAAATGGCAGAAGAGCACATATTGTTTAATTCCATTCGGTTACCACTTGTTTTGTGTGTACAAAGGCAAAGCTAGTCAACATTTTACACACAGTAGGTCTTTGTTAAACTAGCACAGCTGTGTCTGATCACAACAGCCAATCAGATCAACTATTTCGTCCCGGTCAAGTATGGGAAAACCCTCCTCGCCCAATCAGGGCTGCTCTAATAGAACCAAGAGGCTGGTGTCCAGCTGCCAGAGGTAATATTAATGGCGGCTCAGACAGAAGGATTATAATAAGACGGTGTTACTAGCTATGAATAAAAACACAATAGAGTTACACAATAGTAATAGAGAGGAGAAAGAGGGAAAACAGGATGACAGATGGTTCAAGACATATGAGTGTGATATTGCAATAGCGAATGATAAGAGTCTGAATTTCCTCTTGTCTTAATAGGATTGATTGATCTTTTACAATGAAACTTCCATGAATTGAACCTGGGGAATATGTTAGGCAGCAACGCAACATGTTTCCTGTGTTGTGATGTTTTGGAAGCAGGAAAAATAGGCAAGGGCATTGATGTGAGCATCTTTGATGAGGGCCAAATTGAGATGGCTGGACGACCAGGTCAGAGCATCTCCAAAACTGCAGCTCGTGTGGGCTTAGTACTCGTCTGCAGTTGTCAGTATACCGACCAAAAGTGGTCCAAGGAAGGAAAACAGCCATGGCTGTGAAACCTGTCCGTTCACTGATGGGCAATTTTATATTCAAAATAAAAACAAGGTGTCAAAATCAATTTAATTCCATTTAAGAGTTTCTAACATTAAAACCTGCATGAATAAAACAGCATGTGTTTGTAGTTGTTGTGTCTTTGATCAGGATTTAGGTCAGGGGTTCAGGTCACACACGTGTTATTCCTGTCCACTCTCTCACCCTCAAGGAATTCCTGTTATTCCTACACATCCCTCAGCGGATGAGGAATTTCTGGCACGTTTTGAATGTGGGAAATCCAAAGTTATGTAGGGATGCACAGTGCACACACATGTGCACGGTTCTGGTTTCTCTTGACCAATAACAGCTGGTTTAGAACTGCTGTGTCGAAGTTAGCTGCCAGGGAGCCATTATAAAACAACTCCTGCTATTAACCAGACATTGGAGATGCTGTGAGTGTGTGCTAGTTTTGTGGTATGTAGGCAACTTCTCCCCTCCCTTCTCTGACTGACCATACCACCCGTCCCATCTGCCATTGGTCCAGGCAGCTGTTGCATTCACTCTTTTTTTTATTTTTTTTTTATCACAGAAACACACAGACTTCGACCCCTCCCTGAGCTATTTGCCAGAATCCCTCTAGGGCGCTCTTCTAGTGTTGTTGAGTAAACTGCTTTGTTGCATTAGCCAGCCTAATGCCCACTTGACCTCTCTGAGGCCCCCCAACAGGTCTCAAACCTCAAGAGGTGTGTGCCGAGTGTTGATATGATCCGCCACAGACACACGACTCCGTATCAGCCCTGACCTGGAACGATGACCTGACTGTGTTGTTTCTACACAGCAAAGCGTGATGGCATTCCTGTCATTTCCTTCACCAGTCCATGCCCTTTCTCACTGAAGGGTGTAGCTATATCACTGGTCACTGGGTTTCACCACCATGCACTTCACACAGAACCTGTGACACATGGAATATTAAGATCATGAACGATTTATCTTGCTAATGCTGCATTGTCCTCGTGTACTGGAAAGACAAGCTTCCTGTCAGATAATGTTGACATCAGCTTTTGGAGAATACAATTGGGGATTCATCGACAAGGTAATAACTTCAAAAGCTTTAGCTAAAAGCTTATTGATTATCAATAGAATGAATGGCATCATGATTTTGCATGTTCTGCTGTTTGTCGCTGTTATATTGATTTTTCACGTAGTTAGGGTAAACACTGATTACTTGCATTTTGCCACAGTTTTCAGTATCCTAGATGCCAGGACAGGGCCTAACATGTAGGATTAGTATTGGTCAGAATGCTAGTCTATGCAGTGATCCAATACCAAATTTGAGTTGCGCAGATGGCTTAGCGGTTACGTCCTGTCCCATGTATGTAGGCTATTGTCCTTTAAGCAGGCGGCCCAGGTTCAAGTCCAACCTGTGGACATGTCATTCCCCACTCTCTCTCTCTCCCCCATTTCTGACTCTGTCTACTGTCCTATCCAAATAAAGGAAACAAAAAAAAGGAAAATAATGCCAACATTTATTGGCCTTTACACAGATGTGGTAAATCGAATTGCAAAGGGTGCTTCATCACACATTTTGAAATAATTCACAATTAAAGCCATCAGCTATACAATCGGTCACACTTTTTATACGGGATGTGTACATGTAGTTCCTGTGATAGAAGTCAGTAACTTGATTATATCACCCTGCAGAGTGTCACAACTCGCAGCAGAGCGTACATTTTCCCACAATTGCAACCACATTGGGTGTTCCAGGGCTATTTTCAACAAAATCAAAGTCAAGACGATAGTTGGGATGATAATTATTTCAGACAGAACTGTTTTTGTAAAA